GTATCATGTAGCCTGCTGTGTCTCCTGATCATAGACCAGATCTTCCTTTTTTCTGGGAAACTTGTACAGGAAGATAGCCTGTTACCTCCCTCTTCCTTTGCCATGCAATCTCAGATCCCTCTATGGAAACTCCCAGACTGTTTTCAGCCTTCCTAGATATGATGTCACAGATGTGTTACCTTTTTTTTCTATATCCCCTGTGTCTAATGATTCCTCTCCTTCCCTCCTGAATTCTGTTTTTTCCTCAAATTAACTAGTTTTTTTAGCCATGACATAATGGCTCATAGAACAACTCTGAGTTTTTGTTCTTGTTTTTTGACTACAGACTTTTAGCTAATAGCTCCATCATCTCTTGACCAATTTGAGATCTAATTACAGTTTTGGACTTAGGAGGGCATACCCTTCCAACTGATGTATTTGACCATGTCCAAGGTCTCATAGATTACTTTATTTTCTAATCCTGCCTAAAATAATTTCAGTTTGACAGTAGACTGGTAGAGATGCTGATGGGTAATAAAACTGAATGTTGTATGTGAGTCCCACACTTGGTATTGCTGGTGCACAAAAATATAGCTAATAAAAAGGAAAAAAAATAGGTCTCATAGATTAATTTACTCTAATTCTACCTAAAAGCAGGGTCAGGGTACTATTATTTTCTAGGATCAGCATGCCCCATACCCCTTGTACCTCAGTTATTACAGGTTAGTGTACCATCATTCTGATTTTCCATTTACAGACTCAGACCTTGGAGTCGTTGATTCTGGTTTGGGGATGTGTCCCCAATACCACTGTAAAATACTTCCCAGGCACAAATTTCCCATCTCCGTTTGAACCTAACAAACCTCCTGTTTTACCTCTCCTCTATCCATCTCATGTTCATGGCCATCCACTGTTCCCCTGAAGGGTTGTTGAAGGATACTCGCTCCCTCATGTATTCCACATTGACGTCCTTGTTTTTCTTGGCCTTTTCCCCACATCCTTGGTTCCTCTGTTTTGGGGACATTCTGGGTTGGAACACACTTTTAGCTAATGTTTGCTCACCCATGTCATTTCTGGGGTCTTCTTGTGGCTGGTTATGGACTGGAGATGATCCATGAAGATGCAGTTCACCCTTCTGGCTGGGAGCCCTCGTCCTACTGCAGACTGGATTGTAAATTCCCAAGGCCGGCAGGTTTTGGATTTTAGTGAATCACCATGATGCATTCCTCCTTCCTACTGTCACCCAGATGTCAGGTTCCTGGGGGCCTGGTGTTGGTTGTGTACTAGTTCTGCACAAATGCTCTGACTAAAATGGCAGAACAGAACCCATTTTCCCTTTTCCTTCCTTGTTTTGATGTGAAAAAGATAGGGACCCTTCTCGTACAATGGACCAGACAAATAATACCTGATGTTGCCTGGTTTTGAACTAGAATTGACCCACCATTCACAGGCTGATGCAACCTAGCCACTCTACACTATTTGACACATCCAATTGAGTATTTGATGTGCTCCTTTTCTACCCAAATAAGTGACATATATTTTCCAAAAGGCAAAGAATATACCTGGTTCAGATTTGGTGTGGTCTCCCATGGGTGTGTTCCACTACCAAGAGATGTCACACTCCATGGGCATTCTTTGGATGCTTTCTGAAAGGTGATCATCTTGGTAAATTTTGCACCAGTCCCTCCATCATGTCAGTGTGGGCTTCTAGCTATTATGTGAGAGGAAGTAAGGTATAGTTATGAAAATTAAAATTTACCTACAATGAAAATATGTTTCTGATAGATACTTACCTCTTTCACACTTCCCACCCTACCTCCCCATTTCTGGTGCCTTTTCTTTGCCTAATCTCAAAGTGAAGATTAGGTTCTACAGTATAGAGAGAGCCAGCTGTGACAGGAGAGTGTGTTGTGAATCTGTTGATGGAGGGTTAGTGCATGATTATTTGCATTCTACAATGCAACTGTACCATGTTAAACACATGTGGTAGGTGAGAGTATCAAGGCTTGTGGTGAGCAAAAACTTTCTATATATAAAGAGGGCAGCACTGAACAAGGAAAGCTACTATGTGAGAGAAGTATCTATCGTAAATATATTTTTATTGTAGGAAAATTATAACTTTCCTTCTCTTTCTATGCAAGAGCTTCTCTCTACACAAGCCTCCTTCAGTGGACTGTATCATATGTGTGTGGCACATGTCCATCTATTTTTTTTTTTACCCTCTTTATCATGCTGACTTGATTGCATCCCATGTGACCCGAAGCATTCCTCTCGACTTGCATCTTTACACTGATGCCTTCCTTTCCACTTTGGTTGATCAGTTTTTAACACTTCCATTCTTTCTGGGGCCTAGTCTTCAGGGGGAGCTATTTCTGCTTTTCAACATTTTGGAGACATCTGCAAATTTTTGGGTTTGCCATAATCTTTGGTTGTGGTTGTCAGGTCATCTCATAGTGATCTTTTCCAACACTTGTATGGTTGTTTCTTACATTAACCACCAGGGAGGCACTCGCTTTTGAGACCTATGCTTTACTTGGCTTTTTGAAAAAGACCCATCCATTTTGGTAATTGATGATTACTGAGCAGCATTATCCACACTATCACTTCTTCCCTGGCACTATTCCCTTTCTCTATCCTTTTATTCTCATATGGTATTCATCATTTGTACAATAATGATGAAAGTCTTCCGGAAATCCGGATATTTCTAAAAAATCCTGAAAACCTCCGGTTTTCTTCCGGAGAAACACATTTTTTAAAATTATTTTTCGGATTTTGGTGTTCTATGCCATAGATAAGCGTTTATGCAATTGTGCGGTTTGTTTACATTCGGTGACAGGGCGCCACCATTTTGTAGTCTCGCAACGCTTGCTGGCATGTACAAGACCTTGTATGCTTATAATGCAAACTTCGTGTCATGTGAACGAGATTTTATCTCAAACGTGCTTTAGAAAACACGGTCATTCTTTTGTGTACCTTTCTATTGAGCGAGACAATTGAAGAGCCTTATCTATTCAAAGGTATTTACCAAAGCGATAATAGATCAAATGAAATGTACAAACAAGTAGATAGGTCGGCGGATATCCATAGCATAGAAGGAAAGGTAAAGAACAAGTTCAAATGATCGTGGCTGGAG